AACGAAAACTGGTAACATTATGATGAAAATAACGTTATAATTTTCATTCTTACCCAAATTTAAAGTAAATTTGTATGTATATTTAGAGAAAAGGACCAGATTAGGTTTTCCTTGTATCGCAACTAAGCCCAACACCGAATTTGGTCCTCAAGTCATCTAGTTCGATACTGAATCAGTATTATTCATAAATCTTGCGAGATTGCGTTACAATATATTAACCAGAGAATCGCTTTTAAAATTAGAAAAAAACAAAGCATTGAAATGTTTCAAATTCCAGAAAAAAAGTAGATTAATACACATCCTCATCTCTTCGGTCTGGGACAAAGACAGAAAAAAAGAAGCGAAAATATGATGAAAGAGAACGACTAAGATAAAAGGATGAAAGATGCTCTTTGTTCATCACTGATAAAGATCATAATAATCACCATCATCATTATCATCATCATCAACAGCATCATCAACATCATCTTAATCAGATCACTTACAATCTATTTTTAACATTTTACCTTCAACACTTGCACTTTGGGTAACTTATTAACTGAATATATTTAAAAAAATAGCTCATATCAAATGAGATGATTATGATCATCACCTTTTTCACCCATTTTCATGATGATGATGATGATGATTATGTAAGATGGAGAGGTCATCATTTCCTCAGATTAACTCATATACCAGTTTATTAATAACAATACCTGATGATTATGATGTAACAATAATAGACAGACACAGTCATCAATTTTTTCTGTTATTGTTTCACTAAAACCTGAGTTTTTATCCTCATCATCATTTAATAATCGCTTATCATCATCATCATCATCATCACAATCAATTGTAAACTCAAGCAGAAATTAACTATTACCAATAATATAAATTGTGTGTTGATAATGATAATCATAATGAAAGTAGTTTAGCTTCTGTCGTTATCATTTCATATTAGTGTCTTGATGGTGATTATTTTTTTATTCTTGGTTGTATATAAATGGATTGCCTTTATTTTGTCAGATTAAATTGAATTCAGTTTAAATTGTTCCTTTTTTTTTGAACAAAAAAATCAATGATGATCATTATATTTGATATATTTAATATGATTGAATACTTTGATTAATCAATGATTGAATGAATTGATGTGTTGATGAAACTTGAATTAGTTTTAATTCATTTTGATATCATCTCTATTTTTAGGATTGTTGAGTTTCCGTTATAAATAATAATACAATTTATTAATAAGACAAAAACAAAATCCCTATTCACATGTAATATTATCAACTATGATCATGATCATGATATTGATGATCATAATCTGTAGTCAAATTGTGTTTACCAATATAAATAAATGGAGCCCATGGGAATCACCCAGTGAGAGAGAGAGAGAGAGAGTGAGTTGGGTGGGTAAAGTGTATTGTATTCAATTGAATATCTCTCTCTGTGTATTGACCTTAATTGTAATGATGTTGATAATGTGAATTGTGATACATGGTTGTTTACCAATAGATTGAATTAGAGGGAAGATAAATTTCCTCAATTTACTCTGGAGAGAATCAATTTGATTTTGATAATGGAAAAGAAAGAGAAAAGATTAAGATTAAGATGATGATGATGAAAAAAGGGCGAAAGAGGAACCATGAAATATATTAACAGCAAGAGAAAAAAAAATCATTATCATCATTAACAGTGTATTCATTTTCTGTATATTAATATAAGCCCAGGTAAACGTTGATCTTTTCCCTTATTATAATTTATCCAACCGTTGATGATGATGATGCCTAAGATGGAGATGATGAGGATGAGGAAAGAAGATGTTAATGAAACCAATTAGCATCTCTTTTTTTTTGCAAAACTCGCAAACAGCTTAAGGCGATTGTTTTTTATTGTATACGTTTATTGTTGATGTTTTTATTTTGTTTTCCATCTAATTTACCTGTATATTAATCGTTTTGATGGCGATTTACTATTTATTATTATTTGTTATTCTGTTATCATGTTTATCATTTTGAAAGATGAGGATTTTGTTTTCTTTGACAACATGTTACCAAGTTTGTTGTTTTTTTTTGTTTTTTTTTTGCTTTATTCTTATTCAGAAAGATATTTGATCATCTTCATCATCCATTACTTTTTCTCTCTCAGGTAAATCTTGAGATAATACATGATGTTGTATTGAAGCAACAAGGTGAGGATGAAAATAAATGAAAACAGGTCTCCCTTATGAGATAACCCAAACAAGTCTCACAACTCTGGCTCATCATTCAATAACCTGTTCTCATCTTCATCTTCATCCTCATCTTTTTTTTCATCATCATCATCATTCCCTTTTCTTTACACTTATAAGAATGAGAAGGAAAAAAATCTACCTTTCTATCATCTTCTCCATCATCATGTCACTTCTGTTTAAATTGTTGCAAGTTGCTTTTTCTGTGACCCAGACTACACAATTGCAATCGCATCATAATGATAATATTACATGAGATCTTAAAATCTATCAGCTATTTAATGAACACAAACAGACTCAGCATGAATTGATATTGTGAATGGTCAGTTGGATGAATAGTGAAAGAAAATTTAGATCCATTGAATGGTCAAGATATGTAATAGAATTGATAATAATTCATTTTCATGCTATTATCCTCTCTCTCTCTCTCTCATTTGGTCTTACTCTCACTCTCTTTTCAATTGGTCAAATTGGTCAAATTTTACGCTCATTTTTCCCTCATTCACTAATATCATCAATCCCCTGCATCATTTTGATGATAATCATAGCGGATGAATATGATAATTTAGTTGAATTCAATTCTTACCTTTAATAACCTTTTTTCCCTTGTAACAACATCATTTGTTTATCATCATCATCATAAATATGTTATTTAATGGTAAAAAAATCAGATGATAATATTACTATTACTATTATACAATAATAACCAATATTATTTGTACATGATGATAATAGCTTGATTCATTCATTGCTACTGAATTTTTGACATATTTTTTTTATTATACCTATTTACTATCAAGGATATATGTTTATCTCATCCTCTTGATCATCATTATCATCCTTGATTACTATATATATCTATAATGATGACGATAATAATAATGATGATGATGATGATACAACTAATTGTGGATAAAATTTTAGTGAATAAAAAAATTGGATCAATAGTATTAACATTGAACAGGAGAAGAAGGAAAAAAGTTTGATTTTTGAAGCAATTAAAGTAAATACAATTTAGTTGATTAGTTGAAATAAAAAAGTAATGATTAAACTAATTTACATTATACTTTTTATTTATCTAATACAGTTGATGAGAAAATCTAATTATCCTCAATCAGTGAATTAAAATCAACTATAAAACTACAATGGTTGAAATTAAATTTACTAAAACGAGAGACCAAGAAACTTTTCTTAATCACCAACTTATTGTGTTAATTGTTACATCTAATTGTTACAAAATCAACTTAATTATTATAAAAGATGATGATTGAGAGTAACAGTTTAGTTTAATTGTTGAAAATAATCTTTATTTAATCATGAGAATGATTTAAATGATAAGTACAATTTAATAATAGCAATAGTTTTAAGATGAATACAATGAGAAGACGATAATGATGATATACTAATCTAAGCGAGCGAGAGAGAGAGATGATAATTGTCATCATATATCAGGACAATTTATTCATCATGAAGGTAAACAATGAGAGGCGAAAATTTGATCTTTACCGTTACTTATCAGTGAATTAGATTGTTGATCAATATGAATATTATTTATTTACATGATAAGTAAGGTAATATTGTCATATATTTATAACTATTAGTTGTAAACTAATCTTGATGATCTCCATGAGTGTTCACACTTTCACCATGTTCAATATTTATGATATGTGAAAATGAAATGATATTGATCGAGTAAGAAGAGGAAGAGGAATGAAGATGAAGATGAGGATGAGAATGATAATAGTGATATTATTGATGGTATTTCTCAATATGATATTATATCATATGTGATGATGATAAAAAACCAATAGCTAAACATGAATCTTGATGATATAATAAGAATCAAATAAACATTCCCAATTTGATTCTATTCAATATATTACATATTATGAAGGAGAAAATATTCTGAACACTTTCACAATTTATCGTGAATACTTTTTCATACCTTATCTTCATCTCTTCATCTTTTTTTCATCTCTCACCTTGATCATCTTATGTTGTATATTGGTTATTCAATATAAACACAACTCATACTTGAAGTTTCTCTCTCTCTCTCTCTCCCGATATCTAATAAGTTTCTCATTTTCATTGTGTCTTCATCTTTTATCATCTCTGTGACTTTATTTTCCTTCATCATCATCATCATGATCTTCCTTTAGTGATTAATGCATGATGAGAATTCAACTAAATATATATACTTAAAAGAATCATAGTCAACGGTTCTTATACCTTGGTGTCAAAAGATGATGTTGATGATCAATCATCATCTTTTGACGTTCTCCTATGCTCTCAAGATGATGAAAAAGAATAAGAGAAAGTGGATGATAATGATGATGAAGATCAAGTGAGATGAAAAATAGTCAAGTCTATTTAATATAATGCTAAAGGAAAATGATTATATCATATCAGGGATTTGCATTGGTAAATGTTGTAATTGTTATTTCCAATTCTAAACTTTAATGTGAATATCAATATTTACTCAGTCTCTTTTTTTTAATAATAATCATGAAGATAATTGTGTAACTGTAAACATTGAAATATTATCATAATAAAATATTAATGATGATAATTGTTGGTCTTTTTTAATCAAGTATTGAATTTACATGGAAAAATTAAAAGCTCAACTTCCTCTCCAATTTTTCATGTCAATATAACTCGAGGTGGTCTCTCTCTCTCTCTCATGGTTGTGATATATACTAGAAAATTTATGAATTATTAATTTTTTCACATTCTCCTAATTTGAATTTGAACCTAATGAACTTTTCTTTTTCTCTTTTTTCAATTTGATCAGGTTTCAAAGGAGGAATATGATACTTGTCGGATAACCAACAGTAATCCTCGGATAATCGCCATTTGTGATAATCCATTACAGTTAAAATATTTCACGATAACTTTCAGATCGTTTACACCTCAACCCGGTGGATTAGAGTTTAAACCCGGTAAAGATTATTATTTTGTGACCACATCGACCGGTAAACGTGAAGGTCTTGACCGTAGGTTCGGAGGTCGATGTTCAACCCATCATATGAAAGTTATTTTCAAAGTTTGCTGTTCAGATAGTATCACCAGCGATAATAATAACACCAGTGGTAATAATAATAATAATAATAAAACTTCATCTAATCATCAATTGTCCATAGAATCATCATCACAATCAACAATCGTTTCATCAACGATATCAACAACAACACATTTTCCACCTCATCATGTAACATCTCCATCACATCTCATCAGTACATTATCACCATCTTCATCTTCATCATCATCATACCAAAGTTTGAATAAGGAGCCACTTTTCAACGATTGGACCAGTTTACTTGGATCTTTCAGTGATAATAGTAATACATTAACTGGAGGAATTGTCAGTTCCTCATTAACATCAACAACAACATCAACATCAGTGCCAGTGCCAGTGCCAGTTACATCTTTACCTTCATTTTTTTCATCAACCCTTTTTCCACCTTATCCTCCACCCTCATCATCCTCATCCTCTTCCCATCCAGTAGCTTCTTCAACCATACCCGCTGCCTCTGAACACTGGTGGAAACCTCATTTCACCCGAATAGAGAACCTTAAATGGCGATCCAAAAGTCCAGGCAATAATAATGTAGTTAAAAGTACTGGTCAATTTCATCCAGGTAAAGGTGATACTGGTAATACCAACGATTCAAATGCTAGTTCACGAAATACACTCCAGCCAATCGCTTGGACTGTTTTTGCTATTTCTTGCTTTATCTTCATCATCTTCTGGGCTCTTTGGTATAAAGTGAAGCGAAACAATGTTATGTTACCAATGTCCAAGTAAAAGTATTGACCATTACTTTTTCTTTCTCTTTCTTTCTCTCTCTCTCTCTTTTTCTTTTCAAATTGCTATTGTCTCTATTATAAATATTGTAAATTAGAATTTAAAACGCAAAAATATTGTAACTTAATTCTGTCTTAATTGTAAATAGTAAATGAGAAAAGAAAATAACTAAATCAACAAACAATAACAACTTTGTAAACACCTATTGTGATGTAATGAGAATAAGACAAAACAAAAAATTGAAGAAAAAAAATATTTCCATTTATATAAAATTCAACTTAAATTATAACAATTAAAGATTGTACATAAAATTGATTTACAATTAGTTAACCATTCTCACAATCATTTATACAGTCAAATCACAATTACAATTGGAAAGGATCACATCTCATTTGGTGTGAACGATAATCTCTTTAGGTTTTTCGTTAATCTGGTCAGCGCAAAACAAGAATCACATTTCACTTGCTCAGAATGAGATAGCATTTCGAGTGAACGTCTATGGGCATTATTAGCATTTAGTTTGTAGAATATCCAATGAATATCATACAACAATTAAACGACAGAATCTTTTCAACTGGACAAATAGCCAATTTCGGTCGAATAAGCTATTCAACAAGAGTCTCATCGACTGATTGTTGTTTTGATTCTGTGGTTAATTGATTTCTCTCAAATATTTGTTGATATTTTTATATTTGATTGCTGGTCAACAAGTTCTAGTGAAAATCTCTGAAAAGGCAACGATAACAATACCCGATCTTCAGAATCACATTGAAACAACCACAGGCCTAAGAACGGTAATCAAAGGATCGGAGAAGGTATTTCCACCGTCTCAGAATTCAATGGTCCCGATAACTTGATTGGTGTCATTAGATTAGCACAATTGTCCAACAATCGATGTCTTGTTGATGGTGTGATTGATGATATCAAATTAACCAATAACTCGGCTCATTGTCGTCTAGATATTCATGAATTTGGTGATCTTCGTGGTGAAACCTTTGATCATGTTGGTCCAGTTAAAGTTTCCATCTTGGAGAAAGTTAAACCGATTTCATCGAGATGTTTATTTCGAGGTAATTTTGATAATTGTGATTTAACCAGTGTCATTGGAAGATCTTTGGTAATCAAGGAGCAAGAAAGTGATAGGAAATTGTCCGCGGCGATAATTGCTCGATCCTCGCCCGTCTTTGGGAATGAGAAAAAAATTTGATTTAATTCTCATTAATCATGTTGACAATCAACAAACATTGTCAACAAAACTCAGAGAATTCATTTATCTATTTATTAATTAGTCTACTTACATGTATATCCTTTTTGATTCCATGACAATCAAGGTTTATTCAATTCTGGTTTTTCTGTTTAAATTGTTAAAAGTTTTATTAATTTATTGGGTTAATTTGATTTCCAAGTGTTTTCATGATTAAGGTTTCAGGCAATTAACCAATCACTTTGAGAGTCAGAGTTATTAGTTAATTGTATTATTGATTTTTAAGGTTGATTCGTTTTCAGGTTAGTAGTAATTACAATTGTTTAATTATCAATGGAAATTAATTATCATCAATTATAATCAGTTGCAACTTTTAATTTGACAATTTTTTTGTCTTTAATCATTTTTAATACTAAAGTCAGGCAAATATAATTAAGGTTAATGCTTTTTTTTACTCATCTTGATTACAATCAGAGTGTATTAGTTATATTACCTGAATCCAATCCTCTGTCTATGTCTCTGTCTATTGTTGATCACGTTGAGATTCCAATGAACTTTTTGCCTGAGCTTTTATTCATCAGAAAATTGTGATTTTCATTAATCAAATCGTGTACATATTTCAAGTAAATTAGATCTTTTCTGTTCAGGTTAATTGTTTGAGTGAAACTGAATTATCATGATGAAAGCTATTTCTTTCCCATGATAAAGTTAATATCTTGGAAAAGGTTAAGATTGACCTCTAAATCTCTCTCTCTCTCTCTCTCTCTCTCCTCCTGTTCATCGTCATCATCATCATGCTCTCATCATAAACAATCAACACAATTAGACCTCGTAAACTTAATTCATGTTGATCATATTTCAGGTTACTCAGATAACTCAAGTCTTTCATTTCATTTGCCTTTCCATTCATTAGATAAATTATTTTCATTATATTATGATTATCATGATAATGATGATGATTTTCATAATTCCTATTAAAAATAATGAGGATAATAGTCATCATAATCATCCCTCCACCTTCACCTCCTCATCATCATTACCCCCTAACACCATAATCATAATTATTATTGTTGTCATCGTCATTATTTTTACATATTATAATCAACCAGCAAAGATATTGGTATCATCAACATCTTCCTCATCATCATCATCATCATCATCAACTATTAACTTGTCTTTTGCATGTTGTTATTTTTTTCACCTCATTTGTTTACCTGGACTTTTTTTTCATTCAGTTTTCGTAACAATCTTATTAATGATTTTGATGATGATTAAATGTTAGCAACCTAATTAACAGCTCACCAAAAATGATGCTGATAATTCAAATGAATCAACCTGAACCTGAGTTTCCTGGTTATATGTAAATGTACACAGACAAACACATACAAAAAAGTGACAAAGGTTGACAAGGAAAAGGTTTAACTTTGACATCCACAACAGAAACAGCAACAACTCATCAACACCTTGATTTCCCATTAACACAGGGACAACAACATTAACATCCTCATCCTCATTATCATCACCGTATCATCCTAATCATATACACATGCATATATATACATCCTCCCAATACAAACACATACACTCACACATAAAAAAAAGACCCAAACAACACCGGAAACTGTCCCTTCCCAATCTTCCTCTTTCCGGTGCGACTATCTAAATGTGGACATTACATTTTCAAACTCTCAATCAAATAGAGTCAATATTTGCATCTAATAATAATATAAATGAGGTAATTTTCCTTCAACCTTTTGTATCTAAATTTATACAAAGTAAATGGATTTATTTATGTGTCACACTGTAAATGGAAAATCAATTTTCACTTACACTATGTTTTACATTAAAAGAGGATGAGGATGAAAAGTACAGGGGAGAGAAAAAAGTTCAACAGAAAGATGGAGATGATGATGAAGATAATGATGTTGTCGCTATAATAAAGGTAAAGGTGATAAAAGTTTGCAAATGCCCAGAGAGAGAGAGAGAGAGAGAGAGTAACTTTTTTGGGTGGAAAATGTGTAATTACAATTAGTAAATTAGTTGATTAATTTATAATGAAATTTTGAAACAACAAGAGGGAGGAAAAAATTGATTATTGTAACCCAATCATTAACGAGTTTCCCATGTAAATTGTTGATTAATATTCAATCAAATTGACAGGAAAAGTGAATTTAAATTCATTTCCTTGGATTGGTTGTTAATGGTTTTCATGAATTAAGACAAACACTCAGATGAAAAGTTATCATTACTTTTGTTTTATTGTTTACACCACAAGATATACAACATTTAACATGTAAAATCATCATAATCATTATCATCTTCACACTTTTATCTTCCTCTTTGCCCAAATATACATCACGACGTGACCGTTGTGCTCAGTTTATCAGATGATGATGATTAGAATGATGACTTAAGTAAAAATCTTTCTCTTTCTTCATCCTAAACAAATCCAATTACAGATTGAAATTGAGCTTCTACTTTTCTCATCTTCCATCCAAGTGAAACCTTTGCACTTCATTTCTCGCTTCAATCATGCATCAGAGAGAAATAGAGAGATGAACGAATGTGAATTTCTTTCGATTTACAGTTCGATAATGTTCACAAGGTTCCGGTTCTAACAGAATAAATCTTGAAAAAAAGAAGATGATAAAAGATGATGAAGATAATACAAAAAGCAGTAGAAAAAAATGGATGAAAAGCTCTATTCAGAAAGTTATCTCCTCTGAGGACACTTTTCTCTGTTTCTCATTGATATCATGTAAGAAATTTACTTTCCTCATGCAATATCTTTGAATCTTTGAAAATAGTAACATAAAAAACTACTTCTTATACATTGGAAGATGAGGAAGATGAATACCAAAAAGCGAAAGAGAGAGAGAGTCAAGATTAAGATGAAGATAAAAAGATCGAGTGAGTTTGATGTAATATTACATTAGAAATGGTTATTCAACTGATTCAATTCAAGTACAAGACTCAATAACAACAACAACAAGGAAGATGAAAAAATTACGAGGATGAGAGAGAGAGAGAGACCAAGGGGAGTAGGAGTGAGAGTGTTAAAGTAAGCAAAAAATGCATATAATATTGATGTAATATCCAATATATGCATTCCTATGGTAATAAATACACAGAGAGAAATATACAATTTTACTCTGTAAACTTCATGTTAAATGATATTACCTAATTTGAATATATTTCCAGCCTTCATCTTCCTCATGCTCATAGTGAGTATATAAAAAAATGATATCCCTGTGACCCTGTGATCTGTAACCTGAGTTTTTTGCCTCTTGCCTCTCTCTCTCTCTCCCTCGATATTATCCCCACCATGTAAATCTTAATACAGAATCAGAACCTATCATGTTCATCTGGTAACCAATTCTGTAACCCTCATTTTCCTATTCCACCTTGTTTCATGTTCATGTTGTATATGTTTTTTTATCTTCATATTCAACTAACGGTATTATTATTATACAGTATTTTCATATTCCTCTCACTCTGTCATCCTCCTGTCATGTTGAATCTTCAATCAGTTTTTTGAATCTCCCCTGAAATCATCATGTAAATCTCAACAATTTGCTTCAAGGGTTTCTTGTTACTCTCTCTCTCTCTCTTACAACATCATCATATCTTTTTTCCTCCTCTTCTCACATCAATTTATCATATCTCTCTCTCTCTCTCACTCTGAATTCAACAAGCAAAGGGATAACATTTGATTTGATTGTTACTCAATATGTACATCAGTCTGTCATCATCATGAATTAAATTGATAGTTACAACAATAGAGCTCCTCTGAACATGATGCTAATATTTCCGATGGCAAAGTGAATTTATTTTGATTGATTTAACATTTTCTCCCAATCAACTTATAATACATTGTAATTAAATTTTAAATTATATAATCAAACAACCTAACACAACAAAAGGTATCATTTCCTTTTCCTGTTTCCATTAAATTTCCAATTTCTTGATTAGAAACAGTTATAAGACATAAACAACAAATTTAAAAGCTAAAACTAAATTATCATAACAATCAATAACTGATTAAATATCATTCATTGGTAACATATTTTAAATTGTTGCCGTTAATTTATCAAAACTGTATAACAACAACAACAACA